TTATTATTTCAAATTTATATCTTTTAAATTACTTTATTATTTCAAATTTATATCTTTTAAATTACTTTATTATTTCAAATTTATTATCTCTTTTAAATTACTTTATTATTTCAAATTTATTATTTCTTTTAAATTACTTTATTATTTCAAACTTTTTATTTCTTTTAAATTACTCTATTATTTCAAACTTTTTATTTCTTCTAAATAACTTTTATTTTTAATTCTTCTAATTTTCTTCTTTCTTCAGTTCTTTTAATCTTCTGATTCTTTTAATTGTTTGATTCTTTTTATTTTCATTTTCTACTTCTTTTTTATTTCTTTAATTGCTTTGTTTTGTTTTTCTGGTTCTTTTTAATTGTTCTTAATTGCTTTTCTTTTTATTTCTTTTCACTTCCTCTTCTCTCAACTTCTCTTTAATTGCTTCTCTTTTTGTTTCTTTTTAAACTGCTTTTCTTTTATTTCTTTTTAATTACTTTTTTTAATTTATTTTGAACTAATTGGCTAATTATATTTAAATTAAACTTTTTATTTATTTTCAATTTATTAAATTCAATTTCTGCTGCTTCTTTGCTGCGTTTTTAAAAACTCGATTTTTCATTTAATCTGCAGCTTCCCAAACAAGCCCTAAACCCTAAACCCTGAACCATTAACTCTAAACCCTAAACCCTAAACCCTAAACCCTAAACCCTGGAAGCTTTCGTTTTTCACTTAAAAAAATCAAGTTGTGCCATTGGCCAGCCGTGCGTACGCCAGTTGGAAGAGGGTCTCAAGCTGCAGCAGCAGCAGCAGCAGCAGTTGCTGCTGCTGCTGCTGCTGCTGCTGCTGCAGGGGCTGCTGCTGCTGCTGCTGCTGCTGCCCCCGGCCCCAATATCAAACAGCCAATTTGTACACTGTGGGTTGCGGGGGAGCGTCAAAATTCGCTGCATGCATTCAGAAGCAGCAGCAGCAGCTACTGCTGCTGCTGCTGCTGCTGCTGCTGCTGCAGCTGCTTTGGAAGTGTGAAGCAACTGCTGCTCCACGGCCAGCAGGTGGCCTGTGTCTGCTGCAGCAGCAGCTGTTTAAACTTCTGCTGCAGCAGCAGCTGTTTAAACTTCATTTGGTGCGGAGTCGAGGGGCTGCAGACGAGGTGCAGCAGGCGGAGCAGCAGCAGCAGCTGTTGCTGCGCTGCAGCTGCTGCTGCTGCGCTGCAGCAACTGCTGCTGCTGCGCTGCTGCTGCTGCTGCTGCGCTGCTGCTGCTGCTGCAGCTAGAAGCCCTTGGGGGGCCCCCTTATCTGCTGAATGCCCCCCTTGCCGTTGCTGCTGAAAAGGTACTGAATGGGGGCCCCCTGCTTGTGGGTAACAGTGATGCGCACGTTGGGCTTGGAAGACTGGAAAGAATGCTGGAAAGTGGGGGCCCCCCAGGGCCCCAAGCCCTGGGAATGGGCACTGAAGTTCACAACATCTCCAAAAGAAATAAACTGACCTTTGAAGGGGCCCTGGACGAAGTTGGCGTTCAAGTTTTCTTCGGCGCGGGGTGTACATACACCCGAGCCCTGCGCGCGCGGGCTCTGGCGCGCCACCGGCCCGTTTTCCGCCGTTTCGCCGGCCAAAGCGCTCTGGCTGAAATCTTTTTGCGCCAACATGTTTATTAAATGCAATTTAGTTTTATTTGGCGCTTCAAAAAACGAAAAACGACGCAATTTGACCCCGGAACCCCCGATATCTCCCGCGGCGGCTAGCGGACGGCTGCGCGCACCTAGGCACTTCCCACAGAGACCAACGAAACCGCTTTTCACTCTAAATACCTTTTCACCTTTTTACCTTTCTTTTATTTCATTTGAATTGCAAAAACAAATCCAAAAAACCCGAGCGCGAGGCGCCAGCGGCGGCGGGCGCGGGAAGCATGTCGATGGCCAGCGGGGGCGGCGCGCGCGCGGCCACCGCTGCACACGCCCGCCACTTTCGATGTTTTCCTTTTTAAAGGACTTTTATTTCTTTTTTATTTTCTTTTATTTCAATTTAATTCAAAAAATGCAAACAAAATAACCCAACAAACCCAAATTCGCCCGCAGGACCACCGCCGCACCACCGGTCGCCCGCTCGGCCGTGCGGCCTCAATTCCGAATTCCACTTTCCCATTTCTTCTCTGTTTCTTTTATATTTAATTCAATTTCATTCATTTCCTTTTTTATTTCTCATTAATTTAATTTAATTTCTTTTTTATTTCTCAAAAGTCATTTTATTATTTCAAATTTGATCCTTTTACGCCTCGTTTTGACCATTCTGCATTCTCGTGTGCCCCGAGCTGTGCATACACCTGAAACTGAACAACGAGTGAACAACTAAAGTTGAATTCTTTTCAAAAAGAATTATTTTAAATTGAATTCTTTTCCAAAAGAATTATTTTGAATTTAAATTGCACTATTAAGCCCCAATAGCTGCTCATAAAGTCTTGTTTAGTGGCGACAGATAAAAGAGAATGAAAGGAATAATAAAAAGATGTATGTTTGGCATGAAGTGTACGTACACCCGAATGAGTTCTATATATACATATATGTGTGTGTGTATGTACAGATGCAGATATAAATATATCTATCTATATGTATACACATATATGTATTTATATATACAATTATATATATAAATGGAGAAATAAATATAAATATATATATTTATGGATATAGAAATATATAGATATATAGATTATAGATATAGGTATAAATATAGATATAGATATAGATATAGATATAGATATAGATATAGATATAGATATAGATATAGATATAGATATAGATATAGATATAGATATGGATATAGATATAGATATAGATATAGATATAGATATAGATATAGATATAGATATGATATAGATATAGATATATAGATGTAGATATATAGATATAGATATAGATATATAGATATATAGATATAGATATAGATACAGATATAGATACAGATATAGATATAGATATATAGTTATATAGCTATATAGAGTTATATGGTTATATAGTTATACAGTTCTACAGTTACATAGTTATACAGTTATATAGATATATAGTTATATAGTGATATATCTATATGGTTGTATAGATATGTTTATATAGTCATATACTTACATATATATATATTTATATAGTTTTATAGATATATAGATATATAGATATATATACATATACATATACAAATTTGTAGATACACAGATATATAATATATATATAGAGGTATATAGATATGCAGATATATAATATATATATATATATATATTTATAGATATAGAGATATTTAGATAAGCAGGTATAGATATACAGATATTATATAGTTATATATATATATATATATATATTATAGATATATATATCTAGTTATATAGGTGTATAGATATATAGCATTAGATATATATACACATACAGATATATACATATATCTATATATATACAGATATAGAGATATATAGATATGCAGATATATAGTTATATATATATATATATGTATATAATAAATATATATATATATATATAAAGTATATATATATATATGTATATATAAGTATATATAAGTATA